AAAGAGTCTTTTTTCATAAATTCTTGTGAAAAGAGACAAATAAAATTGGCCATGATTCAATTCTCAAAAGCAATAAAAAGGGCAAACTTTCAAGGTGCTTGTTTACTGTAATTGCTTATTTCACATGAACATATATAAAGTCAAGCCATATATAAGTAAAAAATAAAATAAAAGAGTAAAGAACAGGCTTCACTGGAAGTTATTTTGCCTTTTTAAAATTATGCGATAACGTCTAGTTTGTCCCTCTGCGGCTGCCGTAGTCGGTCCAGCGAGTACAGGATGTTCAGGAAGTAGAATCATAACAAGGTGGAAACAACAGTGTCCGAAACAGTGTCAGGTATATCGGTGGTGAGAAAGAAGCTAAAATGAGTCCGAAATAAACCCTAAGCTTGTTTCAATCTACTAGATTTCCGAGCGTGCTCTTGGTGTATTTTCACCCTGTTAGCCTCGTGTGTTTACATTAGCCAGTCCGCTAACTGTGGGACAAGTTCGCAGGAGTTTGACCGTAAACGGTGACCTGTCTCCTCAAAAAAAAAAAAAAAAAAAAACCCGACAATGACCTCCGCCGGCGGAATCCAGATACCGAGCCGCCTCCCGCTGCTGCTGACCCACGAAGGAGTGCTCCTGCCGGGCTCCACGGTCCGGTTCAGCGTGGACTCCCCGCGGAACATGCACCTGGTGAGCCAGCGGCTGCTGAAGGGGACGTCGCTGAAAAGCACCATCATCGGGGTGATTCCCAACACCAGAGACCCGGAGCACGACACCGACGACCTGCCAGCCCTGCACAAGTAATGAACACTGAGCTGTGTGGCTGCAAACACTGGGAATAACGTCATTTAGTGGTGGTGGTGGTGGTGTGACATTAGTCATAAACTTGTGTAAACACAGTTTCATATGCAGCTCGTGCTTCATTTGAATCTCAGAATCCAGAAGTTTATCAACATAGTTTGCATCATAAGTCGCCATAAAACAATTTAACCCACATTAGCAAATCAACAGTGGAGCCACTACACTTGAATGTGGGTGGATGTCCCTTATTTTATATATAAACTGACTTTAAGTCACATCATCAACTCTAAATACAGACTATTTAATACTATTTTCAGTGTTTTCTCCAATTTCTGCAATTTTGAAGTACTTATAGTGGCATTTAATCAGGTTTTAAAAAACAAGTACTTTATCGGTTAAGTCTTAACTTAATTTCTTATTTTTTAAACACTGAACAAAGCTGTTTGAAATCAGAGAAAAACTTTTAAGTGTGGCTTTATCATCTCAATACAGTTTTTGATTTTTCCACAAACTGTATTATAATTGTATTTTGGCCCTTCTGAATTTCAGCATGTTATTACATCTAATCATGCTTTTTTTTTTTTTTAAACCAAGTCTTTATTCTGTCTTCAAATGGAACACCAGCTTGACACGTACTGCCAGATGTTTTGTGTTGTGCACAGTTTTTTTCAGATGTTGTGTTTTTGTTCTAGAAAAGTCGCCAGTTCAAACACAGCGAGGTGGAGTTTGACCTTTTGTCAGCGCTCTACCAGGCCGCTGGTTAATACGTAAAAAGCAGATTCTTGTCTCAGCATGGTCTACCAGCCACAGTACAACACTGAAGTCCGTGTCAGAGGTGGTCAGTGAATGCCTCAATCCAGAAAAAACCTGTATAATCTCACGTTCAATAGTTGAATCCCACGCATGTCAGAGGTGTAGATCCTTTCAGGTTTGACTCAGAGGCCGGTGTCTTCGTGTTTTGCTGGGGTTCAAAAATGCCTGAATGAAATGGATAAAAGGATCCAGGATGCACAGAATCACATATCCCAGAAGCTCTTGTAGTAGGCCGTAATAATGTGACGCAGATGTGAGGGAGAGAGGGTTTGAGTTCCCATCATTCGATCCGATTTTCCGTAAACACTTCTTTAAAAAAATAAAAATAAATTAATTTTGGGCCTCAGCTTCCTCAGAACCCAATTCAGATGTTGCCCGACCAAACAAGCTGTTAGAGGCAGATATTAGCTGCTGTTTGACAATTACAATCACAAAATATGCTCAGTAGGATGTTTAACAGCTGAAAAATAAACCTCTCTGAGGAGGACAAGCTACATAATGTAGACACTGTTTTTTGGGGGCAGTTCTGTAGATGAATTTAATGTAATTTATCAATTGACATATTCACTGATTTATCTGCAATTAACAGATACACACGAAGCTGTGTTCATGAGACCTGGAGTGGCTGCTTCTTACGTTACTTTCAGGAATTTATGTCTTCACCACGAGAAGACCACAATCAGAAACACATTTCGTGTTTCGTTCGTGTGAGTCAGGCAGATTCGCCACAAACAAATAAAACAAGCTTTACAGGGTCCTCGCCTGCTGCTCACACGGATATCAACACTGATAGTTTGCTGCATTCCTGCCGTGTATTAGAGAAACAAAGATAAAAAAAGATGTGGATGGATTTGTTGATGATGTAGGTGAGATTCATGAGAAAAAAAACGTGAATCGTATGTTCTGTTTAATTGCAAATAATGTTTCAAAACCATTGTGGCAGGGGGAGCACTAACGACTCACATAACGAGGGGGAGGAGTAACAACCCCCAATTGAAACC